AATTAGCTGTCCTTAGCTGTTTAGATCCTCCCGTCACGTAGAACTCACAAGGAGAAAAACACTTTTCGTTTAACAATGAAGAACATCCAAATGAAAAAAGAGAGGCTATCAGCCAACAAAAGACGAAAACCCTGGCAGAGACTCTTCAACAATCACAAGAAAAAAAATTCAAAAAAGAGATAAAAAGAAAATCTCTAAACTTTTTCAACACTTGAATCTTCCGAATCAGCATTAAATTTATCCTTGAGAAATACCGAATCTGACAAATTTTGTGGTGTAAGCCGAGCTCGCTGTTTTCGAGCCAAATAGCCGGCCATGCTAAATGCACTCTCGGAGGGAACCGAGGTGCTGGGTGTGGCTAAATACCTTTTAGCTAATTTTGCTAGAAATGGTATTTTATCAATATTTGATTGCCAAAACAGCATCACATCGGGCTTCTTTCCACGATCACATATTTCAACAAACTCTGCTGTTGCCAATGAACGATATACTGCCAATTGTTCAGATATAGTGCATGATTTTCTGGCTTTTTGCGTGCTTGAATTTGAACTTCGAGCAGCTTGAAGAAATGATGTAACAGATGTTGTTGCTGATTGTTTTGGTTTTTGTGAGGGTGGAGTTGCTACAGTTGCTGTTTCACTATCATCCCTTCCATCCATCATGTCTTTATAAATTTGTTTAATTTCTCGTTCAAGTTTTGATCGTTCATTCCCCATTTGTGCCAACGCGCCATACCCAAGTGGGTCAAAAAAGGCCAAGAACTGAAAGACAAAATAAACTATAGTGAACTNGGACAACAAGCTTATGTTTCCAGAAATCTGGGCTAAACGTTCGTCCGGTTGATAGGAAAGAGGTAGAAACCTGTGGTTTTCACCATTTTGTAGCCAAGACTTTAAGACATAAATATTGAAAAAATTTCGAACTCCGACACCAACTACAGGGTGATGTACCACATCAACTTTTGAAAGAGAATATCATCATTTCCCTAGAAACAATGAATTTCGAACGCAGATATCATCAATCAATAGCTCATATGTGTTCCTACAATTTTACGCAGGTCACAGATCTCAAACTTTTATGTTTTGGTAGATATAGGTATTCTCCGACGACCACCCTATCTCCTAGCAGACACTTTTGGGAATGCCAAAAACACATGCCATATAGACAATCGAATGCACTGATCATCCTGACAATGTTTATTTTCCTGTGCAGATCAAAGGGAGTTGGACTAGGCCGTTTTCAGAAAATTCGAGTTTCCCCGTATAATTAAAATATTCATAATTCACTCATTTCTCGTCCACAATCAATGAAACTGTCATGAAATATTCAAAACA